TCTTTCCCAAAAAAAGAACACTGCGATTTCCTTTAAGTCTGCCTAAAGATTCTCTTTGACAATAATATTTATCCTTCAAGCTGAGAAAAATCAGTTAGAAATTCCAACATGCAATTTGGTTTCATTTCCATATGGCTATGAAACTGCAGTATCTCTTACCACTGTGCATGTACATCTGTTTGTTTGAACTTAGAACAGGTTATCACACTTGATCCTTTGGTGGTGTTCAAGTAACAATAATTTAGTAAAGCCTTACCCACTGGTCTGGAAAAAGTAATCCTACAGCTCGAACAGGAAGTTGGAAGTTGTGTCCTCTTTGCAGTAGTAAGAAACAAGCAAAAGTTTCAGACACAGAAACTTTATGATAAGTGCCTGAAAAGTTCATTATTTTTAAAACTCTGATGTAAAGGAATTCTATGTTTTTTACTAATTGCATTTCTGTAACTTAGAAATTTCGATTGTATTTTCTTTTTCTTTGTTTTTGTGATGATCTTAAGTGTTGTGAAATAACTGAAACTAATACACTGCAAAAACTCTTAAAATTGTTGCAGATCAAGATAAAAACAACACGAAAAGATCATTAAAGCAAGCAAGAGCTAGCATGTGTCATGGTCACTCTGGAGCTGTGCCTCAGCTGCCTGAGCAGCCAACTGCTAAAGAGCAGCAGCTGGGTTCCACCTGCCTTTCTGTCCATGAAGCTCCCCAAAAGAGCTGAAATAAACTTTGCCAATGCACCCCGCTCTCAAATGTGGTTGATACGATGATCAGGTTCTGGGACTTTGGGAGACAGTCATTGAGACACCTTAGCTACATATCACTTGTCTCAGGAAAGCCAGCTACTTAATGGTTCTCATCACACAGAATTGACCTTTCAAGATACCAACTGTCTACCACAAATGAAAAAAAAACACATTTGAAGGAAAATTTGCCTATAGTGTGAATCTCCAAATAAATTTCATGTTGTCTCCCCAAGAAAAACTGTTATATATGTACTGATCCAGGATGTTCTAAACTGGCAATGCCCCAGAGCACAGCACTCCGATGAGTGTTTTCTGGAGTAATAACTTGCATTACAAGGACTTAATTCTGCTCATAGCTGTATATGTACAATTCAACATAAATGGATGTTGCACGCAGACAGCCAAGGGCAAAATCTGGTACAAAATATTTCTAAAGGATGAAAACATATTGGACTAAAAAAGCCTCCACATTTTACAAGTGAAGTAATGGAATAAAACCAGCTCTATTCATAACGACATAAAAACATTCTGCATTAATGTCCCTGATTTTAGTAAGAATATTAGAAATACTGACATAACAGAAAAGCTACAGGGCATCCGGGAGTGAATGATCTGCATAATGTAATTAAAACCAGTACTAAATAAGCCACTGGAAAGGAACAAACACAAGGAGGTTATTAATTAAAAGGTATAATACTCTCAGCATGCAAACTGGCAGTCACAAGTTAAGCTCAGAAGAATTACCTTCTTGGTTTTCAAACTGTTCTGACAACAGATGGTAGCAGCAGCCTACACTGCAAACTGCTTTGATTTCAGGCTCGGCAGTAAAAATTCGTAGTGTATTTGCAGCAAGATCACCACACGTATGTAGACCCACCATCATACAGTCCTAAGAAGAAAAAGAAAAAAAAAGCAACAATAAAGCACCTCTCTCTTCAACTGAAATAGCATGAGTAACAACAACAAGCTCCAGAATCCAAACATGCTGCAAATGCTTATCGAGCTGCAAGGTTTAAATACACAACTCTATGAGGACTCCTGCTGTCCCGTTCTAGAATTTTTCAATGCATAACAAAAGCTCTTCAGTGCTAAGAAAACATGGTGCAATGCCTCTGTGGAGAGCAACTGCTCATCACTCTGTTCAGACAAGGACCTCCGCATCTCTGCATTCTGCCTTCTCTAGCACTGGGGAAGCAGAAGTTCAAGACTAAGAACAGCAGCCAGTTTACCTGCATGAAGGGGATCATCTACCTGCAGTGACTGGACTTGGGGCCACTTTCTCCTCTCTTTTCTAGCTTTCTTGTTATTGTTGTTACTGCCACTGCCACTTCCTTTTCTTACTTCAGATTTTCTGCTGCAAATATGCCTGGACCTATCTATGGCACTTCTGCTACTTTAAGGTGCTGAAATCAAAACCACTTCCTAAATACAGATGTAATGTGAAGAGCAGGCTTTGTTATTTCCAAAACTGCAGTACTGCCACAGTTTTGCAGTGTCCCTACCACTACTCAGCAACAAATGGGCATTTTCTTCCACAGCACACAGTTAAGAAATCGAGCTCAGATGCCCTGTTCTTCCATCCATTCTATTTCCTGCTTTCCTTTTTCCTTGATTTCCCTTTTACCTCTATTTCTCCATACAAATTATCCCTCTTCCCACCATCTGTAACAAAGTATTTCCCTTCTGGCATTATTAGTTGGAATCTACATGGTAAACACGGTGTTGCTTTGAAATTCAGCATCATTTATTAACAAGGTTATCAACAAGAAATTAGTCCAGAGACATTCAGCTGCCATACATTTCCATACTCATTCTGACTTTATATGCATACCTGTTTTTGCTGCTCTATATCTGATTTTCTCACCTATCTGTATTATATAGTGCATGCATGTGCAAAACACTAAAACCACCCCTTTCCTCTGTATTTTTAATTCTTCCTGACCCCCTTCTCACCTTCCACTTTGTGCTGCTGGTCTGTGCTTGCCCTTTCCTTGTCTTAGGATCCACAATTTTTAGGTGGCAAAAGTGCAGTTTCAGTCCAGCTTAGCTTTTAAAGACTTTTTTCGTATCAGTCAGCTTCAGCTCGCCATTCCACAAAGCTTTTTTTCCACATGCAATTACAGAAATAGTGGAACAAGACTAAAGTTTGGAAGCCAAGGGGAGGGGTGCACTTGCAAGGGCACCATTTAAACCCCAGGACTGGAAAAGTTAAGGAGATTCAGGACAAAGCTAGAGGGGGATGGCTACCACATGCAAAGCAGAGGAAACACAACGCTCAAAACTTCTGAACAATACGAGGGCAGTCTGTCGGTGTCAGGTACACGTTTGGACCATCACTGACTTCAGAGAGGTTGCCTGGGTATAACTGAAACTACTTTCTGGACTGTTGGCTTAAGTGTAGCCAGATTTGATATCTCAATATTAGTCCTGGGCTATATACAAACACATGCTCCTGTACTCATATTTCATTAGCAGATTAATGTCAGAACTTACACTATAAATCAGTAAATACTAATTTCACCCATACCCTGTTTGTCCCCAGCTTCGGAAAATCTGATGAAAAATATCAATTTATGGTTATGATAAAAAAATGTAAATATTGGTGAAACCATTTCTAAAATATATTTTATTTCTAAAAAGTCTGAAAATACTTTAAAAACATGTAAATGATTGCACATTTTAAAGTTTTTTAATTACACACATTCATCACACATAATGTGCAGTTCGGTTATTACTATTTTTTAACGCAACAAAGCTTTTACCTTTTCTGATGGTAACTGGTTTTTTTTAATACAGAAAGGCGGTGATGTAAGATTTTGTCTATCTTTTACATCACACAAATTACATGTTAAAAAAATACAAAATCCAGCTGTGCAAATGTAAAGGCATATGCTTCACCAACAAACCCTGCTGCTCAGGGTGTCTTTTGCGGACAGACATGGGCTTGCTCCACATGTTCTCAGACACTCAGTAGGATTTATTAGCTCAAGTTACAGGGCCATCAGCACAAACCTATGGTCTTCAATCAGAGATGAATTACACCCCCCAACAGAACAGTTCAGTCACTACTGAACACAGACAAGTTTTTATCTTTCCATAAAACACTGACTGTATCTACCCAACCAACGTACATTAGCTCAGGCATAGGAACTTGGGCAGCTGAGCTTCGGCTTGCTTGTGTAGACAGAATGCCTGCCAGCTGGTAAAATACTAAATGAACTTAAAGTAACTCTGGAAAGTCAAAATATAAAAACATTATTTGCAAATAGGGCTCTTTACAAACTCTTTGAGTACTATACACAATAAATTCTCCTATGCCTTCAAAGTTTAACTGAAATTACAAAAATATAAAACTTAAAACATAAGAAATTTCAGGAAAATTGAAATTCCAGTGCTTAATGTATCCATCTACCTGGTAAATATAACTCTTTTCATAATAATTGAATCTTATCTATAACCACATTTGCAAAATACCCGAATGTGCTAATATGTATGCTGTTAACTTTGACAGCTGATTATTATCTACCCCATAAATTCTAAAGGCTGCTTTACATATTCAAAATAATTCCAACACAGATATTAAAATAGAAAAACAATTTCTATCTGCTAGACATACTTCTGTTAACTGGCTGAAAAACATTACTGGGCCAGAATCTTCACTTACCACTGACAGCACTCTATGTACACTCAGCAAACATTAAGTACACACGAAAATGGCAACATAAAGACAATGAACAATCTACTTCAAATATTAGCAAAATAACCTCCAGATCTGTTATGATGTCACTGAGTTCTGTTTCTGCAGTGATGCAAGACGTCAGTGGAAAATACAGGTTTGATTCACTCGATTTGCTCGCTTTAGCCTTGAGAGATGCCATTTTTCTTCGCATCTTCTCCTCTTCACAGAGCTCCCCACACTTACACTGAGATGAAGAAAAATATTCTACAGCATCAGCAGGCAGAACATTTAGAACAGCAAGAACCTCTTCAGAAAGTTTGCTCTCATCAGATTGAGTTTGAGCCACCAAATCAACCTCATTTTTTTTGTTGGTTTCTGATGGAGCTATTTCTGTGAAACCACAAGAAGGAACTGTATCTTGGATAGTCACTTGGTCTTGACTTTGAAGACTGCTGTCATTACTTAAGGGCTTTTCACTGATTGCTTTACTTTTAATTTCACTTTCCATTGGTCTATCATTTGCCTTTTCCAACCTCTGGCTTTTGAGGTTTGCTCTTCCTCGACTCTGATATGCTCTCCAGTGTTTCTTCAATTTTCTGTTTCTTTCATGAGCACCATTAGTGTTGTTGTTTGAAGAGTCAATTCCATAAACTTTCAAGTTATATTGCATGGACAAAAATGAACTCAGGTAGCCTTTCCCAGAGCCTATATCAATCACCTACATAACAGGGAAAAAAGAAAATAAAATTTGCTATATTTAAGAGCAACCAGACACAGTTTAATCAAATGTAAAATAATTCCCTAAAAATTTAAGCATGGATTTAATAGCTACATTATCAGTATTATCTCTCCTAACGTACTTAGTTCTTTTGCTTTATTGGTCCCTCTTCTGACTTTAAAATGCAGAATTAAGTCTTCACTGATTTGCTCCAGAAAACAGACACTGCAATGCTTACGCAATGCACATGCCCTGACTCTTCTGGGAAAGACTTCCAGTATATTTTTTGACACAAAACTTCCTTCTGCTAAACAAAATAACCATAAACCAGCAACACCAGCATCCGCCCTTGCTACACTGAGTCAGGATACAGAGCTAGCAAAGCAAGCGTTCACAGTATTTAGCTTTAGGCACCTAACTCCCACACTGAGGAGTCTACTACCACTAGGTGTACAGAAATATGCATCTTCAGATTTGGTTCCTAACTTCATCACTTCAGATCTGACCTAAAGACAGGCCATACTGATATCCCTTTTATGTCAGAATGCTTATTTATACCACTTTTCCATGCTGTGCAAATGATCCATACAGCTTTGATTAACATAAGGACGCTTTTGTAACAAAACAATGGGGCTCGCACGTGACGTGCTTTCCACTGCCAGTTCTGGAGCAAGGAGTGAATAGAGGGGATAACTAGCCGCCAGTTTTGTTTGTCTCTTAGCTGACAGCATGTGCTACCTCAGTGACTGGTACAACATGGGAAGGAAAACACCACACACAGTAGCAGCAGGAACAAGAGCAACCTGAGATCTTTAAGTACATAATCACAGCTTTATATCATCAGATTTAATTTGTAATAATTATATATAAAATTATATATATATATAAATATTTTACAAGAATAGGCAGAATGACATTTCTCTAAGGAAAGAAAATGATAATGTTCACTTATGTTGAGGTATCTACCAAAAATTATATTGACTAGATACAATGACTTTGAAGATGTTCTTGAAAGTGTTTGATTCAAGAACATCTATGTCTTGTTCTTGGTCTGTCACGTGTTCGTAAGAAAGTTTACACTAATATTTGGAAGTCCAAATAGCAGCATACACTACATGGATCCATATTAAACTGCACAGTTTTTTACCAGGTAAGAATATTCAATACAGCAATACTCTCTCTGAAATGAAAGATTTATTCCTTATTCTAAGAAAGTTATAGATTTGTACAGCCATGGAATTAGAAAGAAAAATTTGAACCAATGTCACTAAAGACTACGTAAAACAGTCGAGAATACATATTATTAGGTAAAAATTATTTACCCAGGCTGCACATGGCTTTCTCATCTGCACTCTTCATGTGATATTAGTGCATATTTGCCACATAGGTACACCACAGATCTCATATTTCTTGAATGAAGCCAGTACAGGCGTGGATTTAGTGAAATAGAATTGATATAATCTAAGCATACTTTTTGAAAATTTCATTTATTTGTCACATCTATCACCAATATTCTCCCAGATTATTTAAAAGTGAAGGAACGAAAAGTGCCCAAGGAATAATTTTACCCACTATTTTATGTCACAGATATTACTATTATGCAGAATATGCACACCTCCACTTCTGCAAGGTTTTTAATTATTTCTGCAGAAGGCAGAAATGGACAGAGCCACGTAGTGAATTATTTCGAACGACTCCTACGTGTGACCTCTAGTGGCTGTACAAGCAAAATGCTCTTTGGGTAAGGTTTTTTTTGTTGCTTCCAAGTAAAAATAAAACGGTTACATATTGCTAAATAAGCACTGGAAGAATAGTTTTAAAGGAAAGGAAAATTTGACCAAAAATAATCAGGCAATGATCTTGCGCTAAACAAAAACACTGCATTAAATTAATCCCTGCTTTATCTTCCCTTGATTACATAAGGAAAGGTAATCAGCAATCCATAGCATATCAGCCAAGCATGAACTTTTAAAATGAAATTTCCATGATATAACGAACTCCAAAGGTCCTGTCCACAGTGGGCTGGGTACTATGTTTAAACACAGTTTCTGGCACAGTGGAATCAAGAACTCCATTTCCTAAAGCATTTCAACATTTCCCAGCACCAAATCACAAACTTAATAGATGCTGAACGCAGAATTATATCATACTTATATTACACATTGCAACTCTTGCTCTACATGCTTCAATTTCCAAGGAAAACTTTCACAAATGCATTAAAAAAAACAAATGTGCATTTAAGCAAAGAGGAATCATCACTGGCTTCTTTTCAGAGTTCAATCAAGAACTTTATAAAATAAAGCTCCACTTGTATGACAGGAACAATGCTTAAAAGGGGCAGTAAACAACTAAAAAAAAATTTTTTGTTAGTTTGCTTTAATGTTTTAATCCAAATCACTAACCTAGAAGTGATTACAGTAGTAATAAAATTTTTGCTTTTATTCTCATTTTATTATTTATTATACTACTTTATAAAATACCACAAGAGAGCAATATCCTCTACCACCCTTTATACATCATGGGTACAGAGGTGAAATGGAGGGCATTTTTCTGTGATCTGTAATATCTTAAAGAAACACCCTGAGGACACGTGCTGTCGTAAAACATGTGTTGTGTTTTCATAGCTCTAGATTTTTTAATTAAATGCTGCATATATTTTGTTTTGCGAGAAGGATAGAAAAAATCAATAAGGAAAAAACTCTCCTAAAACTTTACAATTCCTGTATTTTTTTAAGTTGAAAGGTAACCAAAACAAAAGGAGTTGCTTTTTAATAACTTTGAAAGAGGCTTTTTTTTTTTTTTTAATATAACTGGAAAGCTCTTTTCATATACTAGGGATTTGTAACTTTGCACAAATAAGTTTTGTTACAGTGTATGACAAAAATGGAAAAACGTTAATAATGAGCAGTCAGCATTTCATATCCAGCGATATACTGCAATAATATTTTTCATTAAATGTTACAATTTTTTCAAAAAATAAACAGAACATAATCCTTTGTATAAAGACACTCCAAGCCATCTGATAGAAGTGCATAATCACTGGATGAAATTGCAGCATATTGACAGATACCTGATAATGATTGATTTGAGATTTTATTAGTAACCAGCTACATTCGGACTTAGGTCATTAAGGTGGCTCTACTTTTTTACTCACTGAACATGGGTTTTCCCTTCCTTTCATTCCTGAATCTCACAGGAACTATTTAAAATCTAAATGAAAATGCTATATGAAACACCACCTTCCAACAAACACAGAGAACATTTAGTACTGTGTTATAAGCAAGATACGCTCTCCTACAGCTTTTTCAGCACATGAGTCTTCAACACTTGAACAACGAATACTTGCCGGAAGCAAAAGGTAACCAAGGCAAAAAAAAAAATTATTTTCACAAATCTGCTGCTACTGTATTTCTATTCTTTACAGAGCGCATCCACTCTATGGCTGTTGAAGGCACCCACACTGGTCACTGCAGCTGGATCTTGAAGAAGCTGGTGGAAGGGTCTCCTTCCATCCCTGTAAGCGATCGCAAATGCTCACAAATTGATTGCATCTCATCCAGTAATATTTGGCCTTCATTACAGCTCTCTGTTTACTTGGTAATCTCAGTTCTAATGAGAAGACTGCCTAAAACTTTGCCTTCATCCATAGTTCCTCACAAAACAGATGGTCGGGATTCAGAGTTTTGATCTCTGTTTCCAGGGATGCCACAGACCCGACCCAAACCTATCAAGAGTACTGCGTCATTTAACATTATCTAAATTAAACTCAGTCTGAGCCAAGTAACTTCCTCATCAACGTTCAGCTTCGGCAACTTGGAGCTGAACCCAAGTTTATGGGCCTGCCCTTCAGTCTATGGCGGCAGCAGCAGCAACTCATCACGTTGCAGTTACACCTTTGCCATTAAACCCAGCAGTGCAGGGCCATGTACCCTACCCTCAGCACACGACTGGCCACACCATTCATTTTTAGTAGCCCCCCCAGTGCAGGCACGAAGCAGGCCAACTATCACTCTCATATTATGAAGGCCAGGCACAATATGGAGGACAAGATATACCAGAGACCATGGTAATATAGACTTGGCCTACCCAGCTGCAGCCTTCTCTTCCCCCTTACCCACACCCGATACATCAATTTTGAACTATACTCAGACATACTTACTTTGGGAAAAAAAGGCACAGAAGGAATATGTTCATCATAAAATCTGGGCAGGTACCTTATTAATCTTTGGTTTTAAACAAATATGGTTTGTTCTCCATTAATCTTTGTAGGAATAAAGGCTGGAGGAAATTAGTCTCCATTTACACTTACAGCCCCTTGCACAGAAAGCAAGTGCAGCTCACATGCAGACAAGAAGCAAATGCAGTGTTCACAGCCACTAGTCATTTACAGTTTAAACTGAGGATGAAGCTACACTAGCCAGTGACTGGCATTATAGAGATTAAAATGATTAAACCAACCAGATACTTAAAAATTTAGTCTTACAGCAACAAAGGTCCAAGATGTGAAATCTAACAGAAAGCTTAACATTGAAAAAGCCTACAGAAAAATTACACGTATGCAAACCTAGTAAATGGTATTGGTGTTATTCCTGTCTAATAGAATGTGAAATACAGTACTCAAAAAAGTCGAGAATTGTTGTGATGCTTGTGTTTTGTCAACAGATCCGTAAGTAAACATCAATGAGGTTCTAATGCAACAGTGATGTAGTGCACTGTGCAATCATAAATACACGTAAAAAAAAAAAGGGTAAGTTACAACCAAATTTGAGAAAGGAATCCTGCAATTCTTCACCATCCACGGATGAACTTGCCATCTGATGTATGAATTCACAGAGTAATCATTGAGTGATAGTGGTGTTTAGATCTCATACGTGTTCTACCAGATGTACTTCACACACACTACTACATAAATCTCCGCTTTATCTGGTCTCTCTTCAAACTGAAAAGGTGATATCTAAATTCCTAATCTATAGATCTCAATCCACGTTAAATAAGGGTGAACAACATTAAACAACAAGAAGCAATTTAAATCTCTTGTGCCAGAATAAGATGAGCTTTCAAAATTTCTCAGATTTTTGTGCTCTGGTCTCTATGTGGCACTCGTGTGCCTGACAGAAGGCGAAGAATGAAGTTTTGCTCTCCTACTGATGTTTGTGGTAAATTGTCAGCAATATAATACTGATAAACAAAGCAGTAGCCGTGCATAGCAAAAAGCAGTACAATTTTTAGCTACTCAACATACCGAGGACGATTATAATTTCTTAAAGTTTTTCATAAATCATACAATGATTATTACTCACTGGAAGTCAGCTCCTTTGGAACGATACATTTGTAAACAAAATTGTCCTTCAGCTTGGCCCTAAAGGCTGTTCTTTAGCTACAATTATTTACAGGAACAACAACAACAGCAGTGACAGAATAGCAAAATGATGTATTCAAACACAGTAAGAATAATTTGGAAAGTACACAGTAATACACAGCCAGAAATGCCTTCTCACCTGCTTTATACCACAATAATTCACTATGTTGTCTACCAGCTCTGACATCACCTGCACTTCATGTGATTTCTTATTATTCATAAACTCATCAGTTTTGACACCTGTATCAGATTAAGAAAATAAATACATATTAACACAAGCCACAATAATAAAGATCTGCTTCTGAACTACAGATTAATTAGTAAAATTCAACACACTGTAGAACTTAGTACTGCTAGTGTAGTTATTTTAAGATGTAGCATATCTAATACCTGACCAGATATTAGACAATAGCTACTACTATAAAAGTGTTCTATTTCTTCCTGTTCATTAAAAAATACTTCTTTATGTGTCATTTATCACATTTACCATGACATATATGAAATATAAGGGCAGGGACAAATAATAATCACACAGAAAGGCTTGTTAATTCTACAGATTTGCTCACATCAAGTGGGAGATATCTCACCTAAAAGTTATGAGCGATGCTGGGAAAATTCAAAGGAAGACACACTTTTATTTTCTTTATGGGATGGGTTGTAAAACTGATACATCTTTATGGTAGAAAATCACTCATTTCAGTGTTGCTGGAGGATGTGTTAATGAGATGGAGTCAATCTCTACCACAGGCTTACTGCTAGTGGCGAATACCAAGGTCCCTCTTGCTCATCTCTACGTCCCCCAAGCGAGGAGGAGCTCGGAAGTAGCTCCCTTGGGAGAAACCCACATGTTTCTCTTAGGCGACCAACACTACAGCACACTTGCCTCTAGTCAAACTGATGGAAATTTTCTTAAGCCTGAGTGATGGTAGAAGAAACTGCATTGTTACTGATGGGCATGCTCCTAGAAAACAAGACTCTTCTACATGACTAGGCATATTAATATATCTTTCCACTCTCTGCTTTTTGCACAGTATGCATCCGTCTGTCCAGGAACTGATCATTAGGCAAAAACTATGTTCATTCCTTGATCAGATCATGCTGGGAACAGAGCCAAGAGTGTTACTTCTTTAAAAGAGGATGGGGAATTGAACTGAGCTCATGAGAAACCTAGTGTTTTCTCTATTTTTCCCAAAACCCACAGGACCTCTCTATTTCTTAAACATCTGTTTTTTTATAATAAACTGTTATGACAGTACTTAAAATCTAACGTAGACTCTAGGAACTGACAAAAGAAAAAATAGACTAAAATAATTTTAAACAAAACAAATAGCAGAAAAAAGTGCTTGTTATTTCACTAGAGAGTCTCCTTAATTTCAAAGTTGTGAAGATCTGCATGATGTCCTAAAAACCTCTTAATTTGTAAGCGTTTCAATTCAAAGAACAAAAACAATTCTTTTTTTAAGAAAAAAGGTCTCTTTTTTTGTTTATTTTTGAACATTTTTGTGTCTGGATAGGCTTATCAGGAGAAGAAGTAGAATGGGAACAGGAAGAAGCAGACATTTTATTTCTTGAAAGAAACAGAAGTTATGTTTGTTCTCCAAAGCAGCACTGTCACTGTGAACTATCACCACATCTCACACCTTTTACTCTTTGCTATAGTATAAACTCGAAAGACTGAATAGGGTAATGCTGTGTGAAGTAGCATTTCAGACAGTACTTAAGCCAAATTAATTATTTCAGACATGGAAGGAATCCAGAAACAAGACCCAACTTACAAAAGCTGAGGTTCCAGGTAAAAAAAAATCATAGTTTATATCTACATAAATAAAGTACTTAATTATTTTTAGACCTCTTTTCCTACTTTTTGCAGAATGAACATTCTACTTATATTTCAGCTCAGAGAAAATGATAATGTTTACAGAACATTATGGATGTTTAATGATTTATACTGTTGCCACATTTTCTGCAAAATTCTGATAGGGTTTTTTACCTTATTTTGAAAAACAAGCAGACATATCTATTTGGGGACTGTTCTATATTGCCAATAAAACAGCAAATTTGAAAAAATACGTACACTAGTTTTAAACAAACTGTGTAAATTCATTCTGTTATCACAAAATTACTTTCTTGAAACAAATAATTATACACGTAGATTTCCTTACTACGTGTACAACGGATGCAAGCAGAACAAACACTAATTTCAAAAATCGTAAGAAATTTAGAGATCCAGCTAATTCTTTGATGAAAAAAGAAAGTGGGGTTCAAATACTTCACAGAGGTACCCTGGATATAACAGAATAACAGAGAGTTTACTGTTGCAAATTTTGGCTGGTACTGAAATGTCGCTTATTTCCATTGTGAACCCCTAGCACAGGTAGCGAACTGCTTCAACTCTGTATTGGCATTTACAGCTACATCTTTAGCTGTGAAGCTGAACAAATTGAGGAGAGACTGTCTTTTATACAGGACTAATGCAGATCTTCCAAAGATCTCCTATGGCAGGGTGCAGGGGTTTTATACCCCAGTCACCTGCGGAAATTCAGATACCACCAGATAAAAAATCAAATTCACAGTCCACACTGGACACTACCACCTATACAGAAGTTACACTACTATGATTTAATTCCATAAGCCAGACTAAGGGACTGGGATAACCATATGCTAAACAAATACTGAGGTAGAGTGATATTTCAGTACATGAAATTAAAAGACGGATTTGTTAACCGTCACTGCACGACTATCACCTTGGCCATAAACACACTGCAAAGGTAGAGAGTACTCTTAATCCAACAGTCTAGCAACCTTCACTTCTTGTATCAGATATGAACCCTGTAACAAGTGAAATCCTCCCTGCTGGCTTCCTCCCTTGGGCCAGGCTCTTCTGGACCCCGTGTGCTCAGTGCAAGCAACCTGATGGTGCAGTGAGGACCACAGTGACCTTCATTAGGAAGCAATGGAGAAAGCCCTTTAGACTCAGAACTCCATTCTGAGTAGCTGTGTGCACAATATGCTCAAAATGCTTGTGCTTACCAATTATTCCAAGGAAGGACAGCAATATGTCTACATTAAGATGGTGAAGAAGTTAGAGAACCATGCAAGTATGCAAGCTGTGGGAACAGGCTCTTATGCGTATTTCTCTTAAAAGAAAATGTATTAAAAACATCTGAAACATAAATGGAATTATCCTGATGCATACTTCTCAGAATATGAGCAAGACCATCATAAAGTTGCCAGTTTTCTCAGACTTACACTTCTCTTGACTTGCAATCTTTTGTATGTCAGGAAATGAATATATTTTCTGAGACACAGAATTAAGTCCAAAATATCTAAAATAGCTTAAAGTTAAAAGATCACAACTTTCATTTGGCAATTTGCACGCTATGAATCCATAATTTGGTATTTTACTTCTGCCAAATGATTACCAGGAACCTCAATTAAGCTAATTTAACCAATGCTTACTGCCAATTCAACACAAAGGGTTTGAATTATAATTCCATTGTATACATTTGGAACACATTTTATTTTTTTCTATGAATTACAATTTAGAATCACTGCATCACAAACCAGGGCCCCAGTTACCCAACCGAGCAGCATTCCTGAAAAAAAAACACAGAACAAAATATTCAGCAATTGCCTTATTCCTGATGCTCTATTCTGCATGAGAAGAAGATGAAAGAATCCTTGTAGTTTTGTCTAAGAAAGACAATCCAGGTATGAACTCAAGTATAACAACATAGAGCTAGCGAATTACAGAAAATTAAGGGGAGCGTAGGCAATGAAAGCATAATAAAAATGAAAAGAGCTAAAAAGCAAGCAGAATAAAAGCAGCATACAGTTGTCGAACAAGATAAAAGGGCTTCAGATGAATGAAGAGCAAAAGGAAAGAAACCCGAAAGTAAGACCAAAGCACAACAAACCATTAAGACTATCTTAGCTATGGTGTTTCAGCATTTCTGAAGAAATGAAAAACTGGGAAGCCAACCATGGAAAATGGTAAAATTGGAAAGAAGATTGCTGTACAAAATGGGTGAGATGCCCAAACATAGGTAATTGTGCTATCATTTAGGATAAGAAATGTCAGAGTTTTAACGTATTATAGAGATAAAACACACTAGAAGGCAAAAGCAGAGCTGCTCAGTCTGTCCTTGAAAAACTAATGAGAAATCTGAAAGACAGTGACAAATCTTTAAAGACTGAGGACTCCATGAAGAACACATTTTCAGTGAAAATGACAGCAGTCTAAGTAAGTATAAATGCCAGTTTATCATCTGATACAAAAAATATAATCAGGGGTAAGACTTCCAGTGTCCAGCTTGATGCCAACTTGGGAGTGTCTTAATTAGATTTCTTTAACTACAGAGAATGAAATTACTCCAGTTGTATGGCATATAATTGGTATTGGTCCAAAACGTACAGAATGAATAAAATATATTTTTTGAGACATCAAGCACTTTTTGGGCCACATTCAGCAAAACGCCAAAGCACATAATATTAAACAAAAGATGTAACCCACTTGCCATATTTTAGGGTGAGACTTCTAAAAGAATCAAGAATAGCTACCATGATTCCTGCCGCTCAGGGAGAAGAAAAACAAAGGTAATTAACAAAATATCTCAAGTAATGATGTGCCTGCTTGTTTATCTCATCCGCTTTAAAACTGAATCTTGGGAAGGGTCTATAGGTACTGAATGCTGTGACCCCTCTGCTCAAATTTTAGCAAGAGAATCCATCTTCTAAACAAAGACAATGAAGAAACTATCCCAGAACAAATGAAAACCAAAGTGAGAAGCATGTAGGAAAAAATCCCATCAAACCACTCTGCGAAACCAAAACTCCGCAGATCCTATAGTGAATAAGGAAAAATTTATACACAAATGTAAATATACCTGTTCTTCCTTGATTGTCTCCTCTCAGTGCTTCAAGTACGTGTTCCAATGGGGTACACACTCCGAGGCTGGACAAAGAATAATACTTAGCAGCCAAGGCAAACAAATCTATATCGATAAGCTGCTTAGACTCTTCACAAAACACATTGGAAAACCTGTCATCATCTGTACAGAAATGAAAAAGAAAACATTTCTGTAAACAATGCTTAACATCTCTGTAATAGAGCTGACAGAGGACTACAAACAATAAACTCTTAGTATCAGACAGAAGTAACCATTTATTTTGCTTCCATAAGTGGGAAAACTCACTATTATTCTTCAGCTGTACTCCCCCTTCAGAAGCGAGGTCAAATTTTCCTCTTAGATGAACTACTGCAAATGTGGAAAAATCTATTCCTTTAGCAGAGCTACTTTAGTATAATCGACAAGAGAATTAAGTCAACATTATCACTTCTCTTCTGTTTACAAACTTGCTCATTATACATTTCCTAGTCACTCCCATCTGACAACATACACTATTAGATTTTTTAAGAAATGCAGCTGTTCAATATATGAAATATTTTGATTTACAGTCACTGTATTCACATACTTTCCAAGCTGCTTTGTAATTGATGAATCTGCTGGGAGTATTAAATTAATTTTTATTACCAATCAGGTGTAAGCCAAAGTTGGATTCCAGTGCATATTTTTTCTTACTTGGGATGAAATGCTTCAATTTGGTACTACTTAGTTCTTAGTTTCAAAAGTGCACATTTATTTTCAAGTAAAACAGACTGGTACGAATCATTTATTAATTCCGAGACCATTTTGTATTGTCTAATTCCTCCCTATTTTAGCTAAAACTATTTGTGAATTCTACATAGCTTTGTTAATAATTTTTAAATATTTGGAATTCTTTTACAATATATAAAAGCTAACCAGTACAGCAAACAAACTGTTACAAAGATTTAGGAAATGTCTCCTGGGTTGCCCTTTGTCTTATGGGTAGCAGTTGAGCAAATACACAGCGAGCATGATAGCTTTCCTGAACCTGGCCTACTCACCTGCATGACAACAGAAACAGCTGCTTTTATTGACTTCACCTCTAATGCTCTTAATTTTCTTGCATGACTACAATTAACGGTCATGCATATATTACAATTTATTGAAAACAGTCCCAACAGTGTCAACATGTTAATTTTTATGGTATTAAACTACAAAAGGCACGAGTCCAGCAAACAAACTCTGTACGTAAAAAAGAATAAATATTCGTAAGAAAGAATAAATATTGTCTAAGCTACGACCAGAATGAGTATTATTTCAGTGTCTGCCTGGCGCTTCTTACTCTACATCTCTACTACAAAATCAAAAAATAAAGCCACCTTTCTCTACAAATGACTTCCTTAGTTGAACTTCTGAACATCCAGTAACTTTTAGTTAGTGAACCTTCATGAAGGATAGGGTATAACATGCTACTAGAGAACCGAAATAAAGAATACGCTAAACCAGAACAAAGACTACAGAGTTTTCAGTGAGAATGGGTAATTTTGCTTTCCAATGTCTCTGTAAGATAAGTCACAGAAAGACAACAAATTAGATGCGTGCATTTTGAAATGACTGAAGAAAAATAAATTTCCTTTCTGACAATACCTTCAAATCAAGCAAATAACGGAAGAGACTAATATAATGGGATAAGATAATCAAACACTTCTGGACAATGTACAGAATTGCGTGCTTTTTTTCCCCCAAAGAAAAGTTTCAACAACTGTAAAAGGAGGTGAATGTCTAAGCACAAAAAGTATTTTTGATTTCTGCTGGGTAAATGTTATGCAAGGAGTTCTTACATAAAGCTGTCACAGCTTGAGTTATTGCTGAAGAAGAAAATTTCAGTGTATTTTTAAGGGAGATTTACTCATTTAACTTATTTTAGATTTTTCTAGGAATGAACAGCCTACCAGAAAATTTATAGACATTCACAAAATGAATGCTGTCTGAATCTGTAAAAATGCATGGAAATCTTTAGGTCTGATGCATTGGGAAGAAATCACTAACCCATCGAGAAAGACAACAAGGTATAAGAGACTCAACAAGCATATAGTTATATGCCAATAACTATGGAAAAAGTGATAGACATGAGACATTAAGTGAAAAGGTGCAGAGGGATATTTTGACCAGCCAGTCGTTCAGCAGTTTTGCCAGGTGAAGAAGAAATCTAATTTTCTTGATAAGAAGTGGGTGTTCCACTTTGTTTCATGCATATTATGACCTCTTTGAATTAGTATAGTATTTAGGACACACTGAAGAAAAGTCCGGCCCATCCTAATACACATTTATATTGCTCTTTATCTCCAAATTTTACTTCCTCAGTGGCCAGTATGGTTTGGGTTTTTCTTTCATTTTAGAAAACTGGAGCACAAAACACTGAAACATATAATCCTTTTAGCAACTGGCACACATTTTTAAATATACTTGCCAATCTTGCATGATAAAACAAAACAAAAATCAGTCAAGCAAAAACCTTTCCCCCCCAAATCCACTTCTTCTCTTCATGACATAATATTATATGAAATAAAGGAGATCTGAAAATACATTGGAATGTCATCCTGTTACAAAATATTTCTTTAACATATGCGAGATGCATGAGAAACATCTGAATAAAATATGATTTTTGTAATTTTCATTTTCATACATGTAAATTACATTTCTAGTAAATGTAGTTTGGTTTATAAGCAGTATTTTTTCAAAATGTCTGGCTAGATATTGGATGTTTTTAATTGACCTTTATATCTTAAATATACTGAACTGTATCACTAGTGGAAAAAATGTTTTCTGTCATTACAGTGACATAAGATACTTGGAGGTGCAAGAAGAAATACTGTCATTCTTCCTCTATATAAGAGAATAGCAATAAAATTCACAAAATCATGTCACTGTCACATAACAGGTCTATTAGAAGTCACCTTTGTTGACTCCAAGTGTCATAATATATGCATTTTTTCAGCAATATTAAGCAGCTTAGAATTGTTCTTAATGTAAACTTTCTAGTAGTGTTACTACAAATACAGAAAAAATATAAAACAAAAATAGAAACATCCTACAGGTGTCACAAATATCACATTTATGTATTTGCTTTAGTTCAAAAGGCAAAAATTAATGCAAACGTTACTGACAAATTAGGTACCTATACGTTGCTTACAAACATGATCTGTTTTGATACTTGAGACATGCTTGTTTCACCACAATAGGCAAGATCTTTAAGTACATGAGTTTCCTTTATTGGAAATAAACTCACTATGCCAATGTTAACACCAGCCCTCCAATGCATGGTACCATAATATATACTGGAAAAGGTTTGTTTCAAAGCATCAAAGTTGTCTACCATCTCAACCCAGCATGGCATCCCAGTCCAACAGAAGTTTCTACAATGTCTAGGAAAGCATATCCATCTCCTCACCTACAAAAGCCATTCTAAGCAGTCAACAGTCAATTCAAAAAACAGGCATAAATACGCACACCAGGATGACACACCTGCACAAGCTATCGCAACTTAATTATTTTGTTTAGGTAACTATACTCCAGATGTATCTGGAGTGAAAGCTAGGGCTCTCTGATCAATTTCTGCTGCAAGGTCTATAATCACTTTTCTTCAAATCCGATCAACATCAACTTCTTGGATACTGTAATGGCCATACCCTTAACATCTACCAAATGACTAAATGCAAGAATGCCATTAACTACACACGCCGCTTCCACACCACCTGCCATCATCCAAAACACAGCAAAAACAGTATCTCTCATCTCCTCTGTAGGGGATATGTATTATATACCTCATTGGCAACTTTTACCCAATGCTGTCAAAATAAACATCATTTGAATTACATATACAAACTTGCTACAGTACAAAAAGAAAACTGTCATGGATCATGCACATACCCATCTTACACCATGCTACCCTGACACTGACATGTAAAATCATTAAACACTTGCCCTTGAAGAAATTTATCCCTATTTCTCCTATGTAACTTTCAAATAGCTCATCAAGATCAACAGCATAAGCAAATATTCCGCAGTTTAGAGCTCGTAATATTTAGTAACCCAATCTTCCTTTCACCTTACTTCCTGATGAACCCACTGTATTGCCCAAATATCCTGAAACTTCAATACTTTCCTAGGTTAAAGACTGATTATTGAAATTTGGAGTTTTCTGCTTGTCAGAACTCATGAAATGTTTATAAACCCACCGGCTGTCTGCTTTCACTTTTTCAGCACCTGACATAATAAAATGTATTAACTCTCCTTAGAAATCTCACTTAACTGCAATTAAATGCAGTAATAACCATGTTCTATAACTTCCCTGAATTCAGTTATCTGATGGAAGAACATGAACAGAACTAGCAGGACCTTGTACAAGATCTGGCATCTCTTCTGTAACAACACTCCTACCAAATTTAAATTGTTGTCTCAGCTTTCCAACTACAAGAAAAACCCAACTACATTAAGGTATCTGAAGCATGACTTCAAACTATGGAAAGGTGGTTGCCCAACTATGTATTATTTATGAATATTAAAAATGTTAGTTTTCTTAAAATGTTTCTATGTTGGTTGCTCACAAGAAGAACTCTAGTATGTCTTTTAACCAGTCAGTCCATATAGTTGCAAATAAATCTTCAGAGGAAAAAAACATATGCCAAAAAATTGGAATTATAGTACAAACATTTACTGTAAAATATGAAAATACTTAAACACAGATTTTTCTGTGCCTGTGTCCAATTTACAGCAACAACGTGATAAAAAAGATGCAATATGGCAAATGCCAGCCTTCTGATGTATAAAAATATAAAACAGTTTTCTATATCTAAAAATGGATCTGAAATCTTTCTGTAGGGTATGACTGAAGACAAGGGTTCCACTCTTTATATGGTAATTATAATGAAATATCATCTGATGAGTATCTGAAAATATTTTTTGATTTACAGAACACTTAATGTTCTGTAACACGATTATCTTCTCACATATAATATTGCACAACAGAATTGTAATTTCTTGCTTGCTAGCTTCCAAAACTACAATTCAGCATATGTATTTGTCAAAATCCCTACAGTAACATAAAATATCATGCAGAACAACATTTTTGTGCCAATCTGCAATAATGTTACTTTTTATCTTGCAGAGCTATGTAAGTATGAACTGACAACTTCACATTTTCAGATCAATTCTGTCAAATGTAGCTTACATTTCCCTACGATTTAATTTGGGATCCCTACTAGAATAGGTTCTAGAAAACTTTTCATAATGGTTTGGGGTTTGTGGCTGTATAAATGTAAAACTTCTCAAACTCTTAGGAAGCAAAGATTTTACTATGTGAAATCAAAATGTCATTTTACACATATTTTGAGTAAGGTATTCGGGGTACATGAACATAATGTAATTTGAGCATAAAAAATAAATCTGTTCTCATAGCCACACTTGGAAAAAAGCGTAGTTCTGTGAAGGACAGGATGTTACGAGTGCCTCTTAGTACTCCTTTCAAGGTAAATACAAGTACCTAACATTTAAATATCTGATAATTTTGAAGAACAGCCACACAAACAGTTCATATTTTAGAGGAACAGAAGGAAGAGTCGTTTTTGTTTATGTTGGGTTTCAAGCTCTCTAATGGTTGGTTTCTGTTCTTTACTGTTATCAAGTTGTACAAACACACACAAATAAGCTATGGTATTAAATTTCACAATCCTAATTTTAATATAGGCTAACAGTGCACTGATTTTCAAATACAGGTAGATGTTTGCAGGTATCTTCAGTAAGTAACTCATATTCTACTACGATATATTTCCACTGCGTGACTGGATGGACAGATACATACAGTCAAATGAGTCAGGCATGAACCAACAAACCAGCAAGCCCATTCCACTACAGTGCCTCCCATTTCATCAGGATATTGGAGAAATTTTGAGTGCATCTCAAAACCTCCCAAATATTAAATAGCATACTATAATAGTGAGGCTAGAAAACAGAACAATTCTCTTTTTTTAATGAGCAGAATTAATGTCTGCAGAAATCTAAGAAGAAATGCTGTATTTTAGCCACAGCATGAAGGCTTCATACCCATCTAAAACACATGCTTCATTTTCGCCATAAATTGTGTATTTTGTTCCAGTAATTTCTGTATCAGATTCTGTAACATGCATTTTGCATATACATCACTAAATGATTTTCCGATTCTAAAATCTACAAAACAATACTCTGCCTTCGCGATCCTCTTTCTACTCTACAGGCCATCGCTTCAGTGTCTGAACCATTTCATGGGCTTTCCCATAGAAACAGGTAAGATCAGGGTAATTTTCCTTTAGTGTTTACTTTTTGATGACTTCATCTAATAATTAGCTCTGTTCCAGCCTCTATTTATATTTAATTTTATGTCCCGTTGCTCTGAATCGGTTCTGACTCTGACATTACCTGTCAAAAACATTAAAAGTTTTTCCTTGCTGCTTCCCAACTCTTTTGCTTGCTGACTGGACCACTGCCTTGCTTCCACCCAGCTCTCGAAGTTAATGCATAACCCAGCGTCTTTTTCATGCACAAATAAACTGTGGGGTTTTTTCCCAGATAACTCAACCCTTTAAGAATCAGTCTTACAGTTAATATTTTGAAGCTCCTTAGATCCAAGAGAGAAATGCTGTAAGTGATGCACCAATTCACAGGTCTTCAATCTCTTCCCAAATCCAAGTCATTATCTTAGCTTGCCTTTCATGCCAAAAAGGACACAGCTCCACACGCTGTTTTCTGTGGACCTTCCGCTACACCATTTTCTCGTGTCATTCCAGGTAGCATCTCAGAGCTAAGGCTACGCAAGAACTATCTACACTCCATAAGCTCTGGCACGATGCAGGTTTTTCTCAGCTAAGTGCTTTGTCAGAGGCTTTACATTAGTTTTGAAACTGATCTCTTTGCTGGGGCTCAGTTGCACCAAAAACCATACCTTTCAGGTGCTTCATCTTCATTTCTGTGCTCTGCCTGAAAGCATATTACTGGTGTGTTTCCCTTCTACTTGGGCTGCAGTAAATTCAGTAATGCAGTTTCATAGCTGGCCTCCCCTTGAGTTACTTGAAAATTACTAAAAATATGAAGTGCTTCTTAAATAACTCTTGTCAGAAATAAAACTGCTTTCTGTCTTCCTTCGCCAGACACTCATTATTGCAGACATATAGGAAAGTGGTGTGTAAGACTTTTCCAGCTGTCCTCCACGTTTCCAGAGTTTCAGCATTTGGAGGATTTTTAACTGTCACATCTTTCCACTCATGTGGAGGGGTGGGGGGTTTTTTTGGTTCATTTTACTTCTGTTCTTCAGAAACCAGTCAGAGCGAAGGAGTCTGACAGTTAGGAGTTTCATTCCATTTCTAAACAATGAAATTTAAAAGACAAGACTGAGAGCCTCCCAACATGCGGTTCCTCGCACGGCAGCTCTCCTTCCCCACACCCGGGACGGCTCCAGACGCACCCGGTCACCCCGGGCAAGACAAGCGCATGCCCTGAATACCACCTCTGGGGGCTGTGGGATAAGCC